AAAAATAAAAAAAAAAAAAAAAAAAAAAAAAAGGAAGTGAGAAATATCGTTAAAAAAACAAATTAAAAAAAATAAGTATACATTAATCACATTGGTAAGGTTTCATTGGGACGTAAATTCACTATTTGCATTAAGGACGATTCGAAACGGAAAAAAATGAAAAACGTGAAATAAAACGTGACTTTTTGATGTTATTCCCGTTTATAATATAATTTTTATCTCGAAATTTTTTACATAATTTATCGTTGAATATAGAAAAATATAATATTCAATATCATCAATTTTTGTTTAAAAAATTTTTTCTTATAATAAATATAATAATGAAATAATTTGAAAAATTAAAAATTCCAATAATTTCGCCAAAATTTTATTTTAATAATTACAATGAAGCAATATATAATTTAAATTTATATACAATTTTAAATAAAAATTTCAAATAAATTTATTTCTAAATAAAAATAAAAATTCAATTTTAAAAATTATTCAAACAAAATGTTATTATAATAATATTCATTTGCATAATAAAACATAACCTAACTTTCGTGCAAAACTTTCGGAAAGCAATCAACGAGTTAACATCATTAAATCATATTTAATGAAATTTGAATGATTTCCTTTCAATGTTCGATCAAAAGTAAAGTCAGAAGAAATACAAAAGAAATCAAAAAATACAAGTTCTTTCATTGTGATATATTTCTGTATATGCACTTACCTAAATGATACACGTCGAATACCGTGTAAATGTGTGCGCAAGTTCGCGAGAAAATCCACACGTATTGTCATTCTGAGCACCGTGGCAATAGCCTAAGTTGAATTGATCGAAACGACTTTTATGTGCCAAGGCTTTCACTTTGTGAATGGTCGATCCAGTATGTGTAGACACTGTTAACTCGCCTTTGAATTTGGCCAAAGGTTTACATTGATTCTTTCTCCACTATTCCTATAATCCTGGCTCTTTTCTTTATACTTTTATCTCTTTCTTTCTATTACTCTCTATGTTTCATTTAACTATCTATATAGGATAGATGGATTTCATTGTAGAGATTTGACTTTACCTAAGAAACCTAAAAATTGATCACTTTTTTTTTTTTAAATCTAATAAGAATATTATTAATGATATTGAAAATAATTTGGTGATAATAATTTTTATCCTGCAGAGGATACAATTAATAAATAAAATTCTTTAATAATTAATTTTATATTTTTAAATTCATTTATTTGTATATCTAATATACTTTAATTAATAAAGATATTATAGAATTATTATAGTAATTATAATAATCAATAAATATTTCTGTTCATTTGAAATTTAAGACTAGATATATATACATTAGTACTAATAATTATATTTTAATAAAGTAGTTAATTAATTTTCATTGAATCAAATTAAATGAGAATGAATAAATAGAGTTTCTAAATGATTCAAAGAATGAAAAATAATAACTGATACAAAATAATTTACATATTAAATAAATTAATAATGTAATATTCTAATCTATATATATTGCTACCTCTTTTAGGATTAAATTTATTTTTTTCTATTTTTTTTATTAATTCACGCATATATATATTTGAATTTATAGTACGCATTTAAATTCAAACATATTATTATTTAAAAATCGGAATTATTTAAAAATTGGCCAATATTTTCAGAATTTTATCATTTTCTACTATTATCTAATAATGTAAGTAGATATTCATGAACTAGTAGAATTGATATTTAATTAATAATCTTAATTTCAATTCTATTCCCACTTATATCTCTATTTTCGTTTTAAACAACATTCATTGCATATCATTATTTGATTTCGATGGAAATGTTACGAAAAAATGAATAAATTTTTATAATAAATGATTTATATTAAGATAGATACTTCAATTTATTCATTCTAGATTGGTGAATTTCGTCGCAAAAAGTAACTTGCCTTACATTCCATTCGCGTTGTCGACAATCAGCCGGATCGGTTGCGGTCGTGCAATTTACACACAGCGATCGAGATTCAAAGTCAAAAACATGGCGACGTCGTCAACCGAACATACAATAGCCATTGCATACGGAGAAGTTCGTGTAGAGGCTCTCGTGTGCAATTATGGCCCTCTTGATTGGAACACACCAAGAGAATTGTACGAAGATGGTGTACCGGCTGTTTGTCCAGCGGGAACGATGCGGAGCACACAATATCGAGCCCTATGTCGTAAGTGTTTCCTCTTCTATAAACTCATGATTGTTGTCCTCTACTTTCTCTGTCTCACTTATTCCCTTTAGGCCCTTCTTATGTATCGCGCTCGTTATGTCTCCTTATGGCGAGTTTCGTGACGACGAAATGATGAGATCGTTTCAGGGAGCGCTCGAATCGCTTGTCTCACAGGAGACTGGGTTTAGATTATTCGATGTATTATTTAATAAGTTAATTTTGTCTACATATAATCATTATGGAATACGTATTAGATGCTTGTGAAGAATTTTACGATTGAAATTATGGACATTAGAAAAATGTTGTTTGTTTAAGTGAAAAGTTGATTTCTTTTTTTTGTGAATTATAGGATATGTGACAGATATAGAACATAAATTGCAGTAGAACTGTATAATTGAAATGATTGAAGTTAAAAAAATGAAAAATTTGATAAAAAAAAAAAGGTACATTTATTTTCTTCTAAAAACTAGAAATAAGTATAGAATGTGCAATGTGTATAAGTTACTTCAAATTTGTGCAAAAAACTATAATTGCAATAATTGAAATTATTGAGGTTAGTAAAAAATATAAAATGGATATTTTATGAATTAAAATAAAAAAGATATGATGTGAATCTAAAGTCATAAATATATATTAACTTTCTTTTGATATTGGATTATTTGAAATTTGAACTATGATTGAAATAAAAAGATATTTTCCGTTTTCCGATAAAATTGTATCAAAATAATGAAATAAAAATCAAATCAACTGTTAAGTGAAAGACTGATTTTCTATGTTCAATCTACTGGAGAACAGTCACAGTATATATAAATTGTAAATATTGAAATATAACTTTATCAAAGGATGAAATGCATCATCGGTTTTTATATTATTTGTTTCATTTTTTTATTGTATACAAAATATCGATTTTTCATATGTTGAAATACGACGGATAAAAGAAGATTTTGTGCGATTTTGTAGCATTTGTGCATTCTCTGTTTTTATCAAATTACAATTATTAGTTTATTCTATTTATTCTATTATTCTATTCTATTATTATTTATTATTGATTGAAAATATTCTTTTTATTTTAAGAAAACAATTTTGATAATTAAGATTTAACTTTGATAAATTATTATTAATGTATTTAAACATGTTTTCAACTTTTTTTTCGATTTGTAAAAATATTTTTCCTTTTTTTTATTATTTAATGGAAATATATTCATTCGCAATTTCATAGATAATTAAACGATTTTAAAATCATTTTAAAAACTGCCTATTATATCTGATTGTAAGGTATAGCTATTTAAAGTTGCAGAACATTTCTATAAGTAGATATAAAGGGCAGACTGAATATTAAGGGAGATTTCCAGCAATCTTATTCAGCATTCTGTAGAGTCACTTCTTCTGACTTCGACATAGTTTCAGAAACATATTTCTTTGAAAATTTTCACTTCTGTTTAAAATCCAACTTAAAACGAATGAAAAGCGATAAAATCGTCTCTATTATCCTTGTCATTCAAAGAAATCTATATTAATATCTTTATCTCAATTAATAACTATTATTTTCATATTTTGTTTTATCTTTTTTATCTTACATAGTTAGAAAGTTACTTTATGCACAATAACC